AAAAAACGACGTCATTAAAAAAGAGCACAAGTTTCCTGGAGCACCATAGCATGTTCACGAGGGGTGCTCACAGCCCCGTAACGATTTCTTTTCCAACATTAAACCAATGGATGACGTCAGACGCACAGCACACACCTGGCTATTATTGATCATATAGCTTTTTAAATAACAAATATCGCCGCGGTAAATGACAATGATGATCTTTGAATTGAATATCGACGGAGGGCGAACATGCGACAAACATAGAGGAAACGTACTCCAAATGATTTCTATTATTAGGAAGACGATGGTAAACCGACCGATGCTGGAGAAGGCGATACGACGACGGAGAAACCTGTTAAAGAAATTGATCAATGTGCTTCGTCGGAGAGAACAAGCACGCCGAATAAAGACGCGAAGGAGAAAGAAGGCCGCAAGGGGATCCTCGGCGCCATAAAGTTGCCCTTAGTTTCTGTTTTCCCTAGAAAGAAGAACAAGGTAGTTGAATAGCTGATATTTGGCCTTTTTCCCTTTTTTTCCTTTCTTTCGTTTCATCTTAACGAGATAATCTCTCTTTAGACACGTTGAAACGCTTGGAAACATCCTCAGGAATAGTAAGATAAGAATGAATCGAGCGGTACCCTGTAGAGTTCCTTGACAACATGTAATTCATTACGCTCGAGCATGCACTACTGCTTTTTTAGTCATTTTTTAGATATTTTAATTCTAATTACAAATTTCTACGAATAAGCGAGGGCCAGCTGAGCGCATATTTCTCAACGTATGTTGTAAATTATTGCAGGAAGGCGAGGTGGAATTAGGGGCTACCGGGGCTGCTGGATTGGCGAGTGTCGAAACGCTCGACGATGTTGAGAAGAACCCGATTGGCAACGAAGACGGTATGGAGACCGTGCGACTCGACGGAGATGCCGCAGACGGCATCGAGTCTCCTAAGCAGCATTTCCTCGTAGCTTGTATATCCGCCTCCAGACGATATTTATTCGCGCTAGGTACAATGACTACGACGTTTTACTTTCTTCTGCTTTAACACGTTCCGTGCCATGTGTACCACCGGTGGTACACGTTAGACTTGATCTTCAGGCCACGTGTACCACCATATTTCTAATAATATTACACGATGTGATAGCTACTCTAAACAAGAGAACTACTTATCGACTGATGATATAATGAAAGATTGTGTGATAATATATCAACCTTTAGTCAAAATATAAATGGCCTGTTGTGTGATAATATATCAACCTTTAGTCAAAATATCAAATGGCCTGAACGCAAAAGGCAAAAATGGAACGTTTGCGTTATAAAAATTAAAGCTTTGTTTATGTACAACAAAATTCTTTGACAGAATCCAGCAAAAACATATTTGGTCATGGGTATGTTTATGTGACTCGTTTTATATTCGTGCATAGTGTGGTATCTTTCGAAACAATCTATGTGCAAGGCCGGTTTAGCCGAATAAGTAGCACAATAATATCTCGATTCTCTTCTTCCACCTTTGATTTTCCGATTGGAACACACCACACAGTCTTTACTCCTTCCTGTATCATCCCGCCGAATAATATGTAAAAGGCCGTTCAGTCTTTCTGCTGTTCCAGAAGTTGAAGGATTCTTGGTATCAGTGTCACGAAAATCTCCAACTAATTGATCCGATAATAATATGTAAAAGGTCATTCAACCTTTCTGCTGTTCCAGAAGTTGAAGGATTCTTGGTATCAGTGTCACGAAAATCTCCAACTAATTGATCATCATCAAGCAAATGTACAAATTGCAAATGCGTTAACTTTTTTGTATCGTGTTTCTTCTGATTTTCTTTATATAATAGATCAGAATTTATGGTTGAGATTTCCAAGCCCCAAAGAGATAATTTTCGCCACCATTTTTTGGGACTTTCGCATGAAGCAGTATGTACCTGTATACTGGTCTGCTGTATCCACCCCGGCCATATATTTATTATAATTTATAACACTTGGCTTCACAATACTGGTTGCTCCTTCTTTGCGTGTTCTTTTAGTGATGGTTTCCATAGATGAGGTAGCACAAGTGCTGAGCATAGTCACGATACGTTTGTCTCTCCAAGCCAGTAGTAATTTCTTTCAGTCTGTAGGTCAACAATTTCATTCTTCGCAATTTTTGGATTTTTTTATTTCGTTTGGAATAAATTTCCTATTAGTTCCAGTCATTTCTAGTAATGCATCAGTTAAGGAAGTGCTTGTAAGTAGGTTGGGATAGCTCAGTCGGTAAATCAGACTCTTAATCTGAGGGTCCAGGGATCGAGCCCCCTCTGTTCGGACAAAAAAAAAAAAAA